ACGATATTATTATTATTATTCAGTTCTTGTGGGTTTTTTCGGGCTATATGGCCATGTTCTAGAGGCATTTCTCCTGACGTTTCGCCTGCATCTATGGCAAGCATCCTTGCCATAGATGCAGGCGAAACGTCAGGAGAAATGCCTCTAGAACATGGCCATATAGCCCGAAAAAAATCCACAAGAACTGAGTGATTCCAGCCATGAAAGCCTTCGACAATACATTATTACTACTACTACTACTACTGCTAATAATAATAATAATAATAATAATAATAATAATATAACATTAACAATGCACTTCTTAGATCTATGGATATGGGGTAAAACATATTATTAATAATAGTAATGCTATATTATTACTATTAATAATAAAACAATAGCATAGCATTATATAATTATAGTGTTGTATAAAACAATATACTCCACATAATAATAAAAAGGTAAAGGTAGTCTCCTGACATTAAATCCAGTCATGTCTGACTCTGGGGTGTGGTGCTCATCTCCATTTCTAAGCCGAAGAACCAGCGTTGTCCGTAGACACCTCCAAGGTCATGTGGCCGGCATGACTGCATGGAGCGCCATTACCTTCCCGCCGGAGCGGTACCTATTGATCTATTCACATTTGCATGTTTTCGAACTGTTGGTTGGCAGAAGCTAAGGCTGACAGCGGAAGCTCACGCCGCTCCCCGGAATCGAACCTGCGACCTTTCGATCAACAAGCTCAGCAGCTCAGTGCTTTAACCCACTGCGCCACCGGGGGCTCCCCACATAATAATAGTTCCATAATAATACAATACTCTTGTAATACAATACCTCCATATCCCTCAGAAAAATACAATAATTATGGTTATTATTTTAATATTCACCATAAAATATCATCACATTCCTCAGAGAAATACAATATGTTATTGTTATCATTATTACTATTGTTGTTATTGTTATTATTATTATCATAGTATGATTATTCTGGCAGGCCTGCCCAGTACATTTTACTAATGTGAATGGTTATTACATTACCATCTCTACTATCATAATACATTATAGTGTTATTATTATATTATATTATCATCATTATTGATAAATTTTATTATAGTATTATTATTACATTATCATAATGATTGTCACAATACATTATTATTACATTATCATCATTTTGTCATAATATATTGTAGTATTATTATTACATTATCACCATTATTGTCATAATATATTATAATTACATTATCATCATTATTGTCCCAATACATTATTATTACATTATCGTCATTATTGTCTTATTATTATTATATTATCATTATTGTCATAATATATTTTAGTATTATTACATAATCATTATTGCAATACATTATTATTACATTATCATCATTACTGTCACAATATATTATAGTATTATTACATTATCACCATTATTGTCATAATATATAATATTATTATTACATTACCATCATTGTATTGTCGAAGGCTTTACCATCATTACTGTCATATTATGTTATAGTATTATTATTACATTATTATCTCTATTGTCCTAATACATTATAGTATTATTATGACATTATCAACTTTATTGTCACAATACATTATTATGACATTATCATTACTGACGTAATATATTATAGTATTATGACATTATCATCATTATTATCTTAATAAATTATAGTATTATTATGACATTTTCATGATTGTCATAACATATTATAGTATTATTCCATTATCATTATATAGTACTATTATTACATTATCATCATTATTATATTATAGTATTATTATTACATTATCATTATTGTCATATTATACTGCAGTATTATTATTACATTATCATTATTGCCATATAATATTACAGTATTACTACATTATCTCTATTGTCATAATATATAGTATAATTATTACATTACCATCATTATTGTCACATTATAGTATTATTACATTATCGTATTATTATTACATTATCATTGTAATAATATATTATAGTATTATTACATTATCATCATTATTGTCATATTATGTTATAGTATTATTATTACATTAGCATCTCTATTGTTATAATATATTATAGTATTATTATTACATTATCATCGTTATTGTCATATTATGTTATAGTATTATTACATTATCACCATTATTGTCATAATATATTATAGCATTATTATTACATTATCATTATTATTGTCATAATATATTATAGTATTATTATTACATTATCAGAATATATTATAGTATTATTAAGACATTATTATTATTATCATCATAAATTATAGTATTATTATTACATTATTATCTATTGTCATAATATATTATAGTATTATTATCACATTATCGCTATTGCCATATTAAATTATACCATTATTATTACATTATCGTCATTATTGTCACATTATTATTATTATTATCATCTATTATTATCATGTTACCTTATAGCATAATTATTACATTATCACCATTATTCTCATATAGTATTATTATTACATTATCATCCTTATTGTCATAATATATTATATATTAT